AAACTGTATTCCTAAAAATCAAAACAAATGAAGCATGTTTAAAAAAAAAGCCAAAGAAAGCCTGAGTTGAAAGTTGCTTCTTTCTGAAGTGTTGAATAAAGGTCAAGGAATCAAAACATAACAAGGACCAGAAATACTGGATATGGAAACTACTAAAACCAGGTGCATGAATATGTAGATTTAAATGCATTTAGCCTTAACTTTCATGTATACTGAAATTTCACTAAGGGTTCAACGATTATGTTTCCTCAAAAAAAAACCCCAAAACCCACAATGAAATTTTCATACATGTGAAAATATGTACCTTCTTCCTCCTGTTAATATCCATGCTTTTAACACCTCATACTGTTAAGCTAGCCAGCAGGAAATGCCATACTCTCAGATGCAGGCAGAACACAACTGGATTACCTTTTCCAAAAAATCACTGAAAAGTACTGTGAAGAGATTAATTTTGAGGTAAAAAAATGAAGAAAATTATGATGTGAAGTTACAAACGCTGTAATGTTGATGGAAACAGAGGTACAACACAGTTAAAATCTATTAGTTACAACAAGCAAATTGTTACTGGAAAAGATCCTGAACAATGAAAATACCTAATTATTAAAAAATAAAAAAAAAAAGACGACTTCCCTCACAAAAGTAATTTCTGCTTAAATCTACTCTCAAATCAAATCTCTATTTTCATAGATCAACCTAGATTCATGTCACATACTTGTTCCCTAATGCCATAGAAGCATTTTACCAAAGTGCTTGACCAATAGCTGACAAACAACTGATTATTTATGCTGTTGTCAATTCCCTAATTATTAAAGGAACTCCAGGGTTTGGGTATCTTCCACCAGTTAAGTGTATTTTGCATCCCCTTCTGTGTATAGCATTGTAAGAATAGAAGTTACAGTTCAAAAAAATCAGAGAAGGTATGAAGCTGAAGCACTACTCCACAAAATTTTGTTAAAACAGTTTTCTGGAGACTACATATTGACTTAGAAAAATTGTGCAACTCCGAGAAATGGCAAGTATTTACAGACACACCATTACACAGGAAATGTAGTCCAAGTGTATCTTCATTTACTGCTTCATTAACTTCCACAGTAAGCAGTTCTGTGCTAAAAAGACTGAACAGTACAGCAGCCTAAACAAGATCACCATTTGTGTCCTACCTATACATAAACCAGCTCTACTCCAATGTGCAAGACAAACGGCAAGATTGTGAAGGATTTCTCAGAAGCTGCTGATGCTTGGCTGGTTAGGAAACACACATGCTACAAAACTGCTTTCAGTTTCCTTATTGAAGAAATACATTTAAATTTCTGCTCAGCTATGAGAAATAGTAAAGCCTTTATGAAGGTTTGGGATTTGTCTTTTCTTTTTAAATCGTGTTCTTGAATTAACAATCGTAAAAGAAAGTTTTATTCACAAAAAGCTGGGAACAGCCACTCCCCTGCAACATAAACTGGGTAACACTGCTAATTAAACAGACATACGAAAGCAAATAGCAGCTGTACTATCTTTTCAGTTTTCCTGAGCTACGTAATTTCTAAGAATCATAAATCACTGCAGAAGTTAGTCATAGTGCTATTAAAGGTTTTGAGGACAAAGTTTGACACAGTCAGAGGCAAAAACATCTCAAGAAGTCAGTTTGGAAACAGGCACTTGTTTTCCCAATGGCAAGTTTCAAAATTACAAACGTTAAACAGCACTCAGTAATTAAGCTTATGTTAATTAAAGCCTTTCAAGGTAATCACATAGTTGAAAGCAAGTTTTATGTCTACATTACAAAAGCAACATGAAATATAAAAGGATGACAGCACAGTTACCTGATATTATTTGCACTATCTGTAATGCTGATCGCTTACACAGTTTATTCAGAAAACTTCAAGACAAATTCAGTTTCCTTCCAAATACCTTGGACAGCTGAGTGTGCTTTACATTCCTTACTGGCTTCATATGTGGCAACCAGAGACTAAAAATAGCTCATGTACCATAACACAAATCCAGTCTGTGAAGTTCTGCTAGTAGCTGTAGGGTATCGCTCTCCGCTACTGTAGAGAAAACAAGCAACCGCGACATAATGTTCCTTAAGGCCAGCACAGACCTAAGAGCAGCAGGACCATAAAGGGTGAGGTCACCCACAGCAAGTAAGGAATCTTCCCACACATCATTTGTCATCAGCTTCTACAGAACTGAAACCATTATTTTTAAAATTCTCATCTATGCTTATTTTCATAGGCACAGGGCAACATCAAATAATGGAGTATTTGTGTAATTATGTTCCATCTTTCCTGAAATTATCAGATCAAATAACATTCTTGAGCCCTGCTACAGATGTCAACAATTATATCTCTCTAGCAAGGGTCAGATGCATTGCTAAGCAGTACTGGCCACCACGTGCATCCCCTGAGAGTTCCTCGGTCTCCTCCTTTTACTCAAAAGCCTTGCCAATTTTACAACTGACTACAAACTTCAAAACAGAGCTATTAATCAAATTCTCTTTCTTGCTGCAGCATAAATACTGGTTTTAGGGTGCCTGTAACTTATCTACCTCTTACCAACATCCATACCCAACTTCCCTTTTGGGTCTATCAAGTACAATGGCTGGAGCTTCACCACTGCAGAGCCTGAATGATCAAAGAATGTTCTTTTCCTTGCCCATTCACCTTCTGAATGTTTTGAATTCTCCTATCAGACCCCAGCTAAACAGCAAGGGCAAAAGACAAAGATGGTTTCTTCATAATCACTAGAGAGGTGCAGAAAGAAAACAACAAGAATGCCAAGGCCAGCTTGGATGCCAAGCATCCAAGAGGAGGAGAAACACAGACCTTCTCTTCTAGTGGCTATGGATGTCTGGAATGGCACATGCATTTCAGTCAAACTTATTAGTCTTAATAAAGCTGAAGAAAGAAGCTACTAGGATATGTTTATCACCATGGCACTGCTTTAAGCTACGGTGGGGACCAGGAATAATCTTTTTGCGATCATTCAGGAATTTTTTTTTTTCCTCTTCCAAGTTAAGATGCACTAAAAACTATGCATGAAGTCAAAGAAGAAACATTTTTTCTGTGAGGTAAAAGTGCAATTTTTCTAAGAAGTTAATGAGATAATAAAGGTATATTACTCAAAAAAGATTTTGGAGAAGTGCAAAAAAGGTTGGAGTTCCTTTTCACAGAGCACAGAAGCTGAAAACTATGTATCACGACTCAATCCCACGAAGTATCATAGAAAACAGGAAACAAAAATGGAGACAAGGTGAAAGATATCACAGCTTTTCCCCCATCTGTTCTTCATGCCTACGCAATCAAAAATTACATACTAAAAGAGATCCCCATACCCCTTATAGCAAAGATACAGTCAGGTTCCACTGATAAGGTATAAAGGAAAGCAGGTTATCACAGGCTTCAATTTTAGGGCCTTAAAAAAAGGTTCACCAACTAAGTACAGTTTATTCTGCCAGTCCAAGAGGAGGATTATGGCAAGAACTATGCTATTTTTAATGGAAAACTGCTAACAGTTGCTACTAACCATTTATCCCTCAGTTGTGTAATTGATAATCTGGCACAGGTTGGTTCCTGTGGCTTTCAGACAAACTGCTGCAATTGAACAGTGCTAGTTACCAGAAACCGAGTTCTATCCACACAGGAGCTTCCATCACAGTTGATGCAGAGTCTTCTACTAATGCTCTCAACCAAGACTAGCAGAGACTCACCAGAAAAGGCAGGAAAAGTTTGTTACAGCCACTGCCTCAGTAAGATGTCAGCAATGATCAGTAAAACCCTGCCTGCAGCAGGAAGCCAGCAATCACGCAACAAAAACACATTTACAGCAGGCTCTGCCCAGCACTTTGCTCAGATACTCAGTGCACAAATGCGAGAGGAAATGGACTGATGCCCCTCCAGCCCTCACCAGATTTGTTATGCAGTTTCCAATAGTGGCACTCTACCACTCAGTGCTCAAGGTCACCACTAAAGCAGCATCAACTACAAGAAAGCCATATAAAGTCAGCCTGTCTATGGAGAGACTATAAAAAAACCCACATGCAACAAAGCTTGTATTTTACCACACCCAAAACATTTTCTGGGGTACAGAACTGGCAAATTGGGAAATTACAGTTCTTCTCTGCAGGAAGTACAGGAGTCAACAGAATTTTTACATCCCTCTGATCAGTGATGAACAAAGTTGGAAATTATTTACTAAAGATTATATTTTTCATTCATGTAATAGTAGAAGAGAAGCATATGTGATACCTGGATAGTTTCCCGTTCCACCCTGGTATGCATCTCCCAATTCTCCTCTCAAACTTTAAGAGGCAATGAGACTAGGAGCAAATGCAGTTTGAGACCTTGGAATGACTTATTTTTTGGTTATTTTTGGTGATGGAAGATCAAGCATCTAATTGTTAGCATTGCAACTTGAACTACTCATTATCCCACCTGCCCTCTAACTTCTACCTCTGTGACTTTCTAACTCACTCCAAAATACTCATGTTAACACTCCTACAGCTTGTTCACCAAACCAGTGTGAAAAAAAACAAATAACATATACATGGTTATTATTAGAGAGAAGTCTAAAATCTTAAATAACAGGAATCAGTAATTTGTTACTTTCTGTTAATTCTGAAAACAAGTCTGAAGGTTTGCTATGGGGGTTTTCGTTGTTTTGTTTTTGTACAAAAAGTAAAACTGAAAAATCCTTCCTAATGCAATGCCTCAGTTTTACACAAATGAAGGCGAGTATTACAAGGTTCTGCTTGTACCTATTCATAAA